CGCACACTCCGCTATCCAGGCGGATGCACTGATCAATTACGCTACCACGACCTTAATGGCCGTGTTGAATTCTTTCGTTTTCGCGAATTTCTTCTAGTATTTCTAAGACTGGAAGGCAGCGCCATCTCTTCGCATAGTAGGTAACCTACAATGTTAAACAAAATACCTTTATAAATATTAAACATTTGAAAGAAGAAATAGCTATAGCAGTTTTTTTTTTTATTTTTATTTTAAGATTTTTAACTGCTACAAAATCGAAAGAAAATTTAAAAACGAAAATGTGATAGGTCTTTATCAAATTTTAGATAATCAGCTGGTATTTATTCCACGCTCTGGTTTTGTTCTCGTCTTGTCAACCGAAAGGTAAATTAACACACTACATTCTTCAGCGGAAAAGGGACCGAAGGAACTTAATACAGTAAAATAGTATATTAAAATGCGAGAACACGACGACGCGAAGTAACGGAACGTGAACAATGGTTTGTATGGGATGGTCCCATAGGAACTCGACCCGAATTTTAATTCGACGGCAAGAGAATTAGGCTATTTAGAGACGGGAACTGATTCTATTACTGATTTACGAGCAGGTGATATGTAAATATATTGGCCTCGTATAAATTATAATGCATTATGTGGGAAGCTTTTGAACTGATAGCCAAGTTTGTCCTCTTTGTTATAAAAATGTAAGCATTCTTGTAAACGTAAAGAAAAGTCATCATCTTTGTCACATAAAACGAGAAAGAGATTAGTTTGACTCCTATTCTACACAAAACGTAGGGAAAAAATAGCAGATTGAGGTAAAATAGGATGTGAATACAACAGCATAACAATTAAAAGTGTACACAATTATTTAAAAGATACTAGAATTACAAAAAAAAATGATTAAAGATATTTTCGTAATTTTGATTAAGCTTTTGGAGTATTGTTTACTATTATGAGAGAAAATATACTAACTTGTAAATTTCTAATGCAGAGAGAGTTATCATATCTTACTTAGTAATAATGATTGATTATTATTTATTTAATCTTTATTGCCTTCACAATGCAAATGGCGGACTTAATGCCAGCATGGCATTCTCTACCAGTCAACCGGAAAGAACAGAACATGCAGAGCCAATAAAACGGCAGACAAGGAACAGAGTAAACATCAAACAATGATAAAAACGGAATCAAATACTAACACATAAAAATAAATATATAATATACATACAAACATATAAATACTCAAAACATATAAAAGGTCTACATAAATAAACACTATACAGTGTGTCTGATTATAGTATTCTAATTCAGTTTAAAGCACTGTGCGGTAAATTAAAATAATGTTCCCGCGCCGAAATCCTTATAGGAAGGCCAAAAGGGAAGATCTTCATCCGAGCTGGGTGATATAGCTCGGGGCGGCCCGACTGCTGTTTTATTTTTTGAGTGTGTATTCTGTTGGTCGCAGATGACCTTCACAGCGTCACCGGGTTTAAGGACGGGGAGATCCTAAGGGGAACTCAAGCCGAGAATTGGCGAGTGCCTCTAGAGGTACACGGGAGGAGTCTCCTCTCTGTCTGGAGCCTGTAGACCACTCGAACCTGAGGGGGACGGCTCAACTACAGGGCGTCTCTGAGACTCGGGCCTTGGCTCTAGTTAGCCGTTGTTACGGGGTCGACAGCTGTTGGTCGGGCATTGCCTTTACGAAGAGTTAGCATTCGAATTTCACTTTCACGATGTAGGCTTCCATTCTTTATGAGTGCAGCGCCGTTAGCGCCATTTCTTGACGAGGCGAGTAATTATTTCCTCCATGTCGATTATATATGGGGAGTGTAGATGTTGGCGTCACATCTTAAACGCAATCATGTTCGAAGTGTTCCGCATGTGTAGAGGAAGTGCATTCCAGAGCCGAAGGACAGTTAGGGTGTAAGAATTGGACCCTAACCAAGAATGGTGAATGGGAACTTCAAGTATTTAATTATCATTATATCAATATTTGATGGGAAGACCCCGGCAACTGAAACCGAGATTTCAGATATCCAGGGGTGCGTGGATCGTATAGTAAGTTTAGGGTGAACAATGCCCTTACGTGCCTAAGCTCCCGAACAGGCGACCACTTAAGTCTATTACGGAACTCAGATATGTGTTATTAAGAAGACGACCCAATTTAGTAAAACAGTTGTAGTAGTAGTAACAAACATCAGCATAATCAAAGAGGGTATGAACAAGGAATTGTACAAGAGAGATTTTGGTACACGGAGGGAGAAAATTCTTAAGGCAATATAGCGAACCAAGTGTTCCAATTTACCTTGCGACATATATTTTCCATTCGGCCATCCCAGCTAAGAGTGTGGTCAAGTACAAGGCCAAGGTTCTTTACTTTCGTAAAATAGGGGATCACAGCACCATTGAACGTAACGGCTGGAATTGAGTTCAAATAAAGCTGATTATATCTAAAGAAAATATAACTAGAAAAATATGTGGATATTTTTGCGGGCCAAGGCAGCAGACGGGACTCGAACCCGCACCCTTCGCTTTCCGGGCGAATGCACTGACCAATTATGCTACCGCGGCCCTGACGGTCGCGTCGAAAATTCTTCTAGCCATTATTAAGCTGCAAGGCAGCTCCATCTCTTCGCATTATCGGTAACCCACAATGTCAAATGAATACTTTTACAAGTATTAAACATTTGAAAGAAGAAATAGCAATTATAGTTATAATTTTGCATAATTATATTAGTAGCATATTTGGTCAGTGCATTCGCCCGGATAGCGAAGGGTGCGGGTTCGAGTCCCGTCTGCTGCCGGTCCGCGTGGAATTTTTTCTAGTTATATTTTCTTTAGATTTAAATATCAAGCAGTTACATGCTTAAAAAATAAAAATTAAAGCTGATTATTCATTGTCAAAACTAAATCAAATGAATCAACTGTAACTATAGCAAATAAAAAGTGTGTAGTAAGATAGATATTATATATAAAGCATTTTTTTTTTCTATAATTACAGATTTTCAAGAGCGGATATCATTATTACAGATATTATTATTAGATAATTACAGTTTCTCAATGACACTAATTTACTTTCTTTTTTACTTATGGACCTCACACCTGGCTCCCGCAAGCCTTACGAGCCCCAGCAGTGGCTGCCCACTGAGGACCCCGTAACCCTTACGGGCGCTATACGGCATAATATCCGCTAAAAAACCCTGCGAACACCCTCTAAGCTGCTTAGTGCGAAGCCGCGGAATCCCCGGTTAGGGATTCAGCCGCAGCCTCCCGGCCTTGCCGAGGTTCCGCGGCAGGGGTCTCCCGGGGTATCGATGATGATGATGAGATGTGAGATGTACACATGAAGCGCTCATTAAACATACTGAATTGCGTAACATGAAAGAAAGTTGGTCACAAGAGTAAATGATTTTTTTAAGTTACTTTTTATTAGACCGTTCGTTGCTTTAGGCCCAGTTTTTAATTCTCTCCGGTATTCAATTACAACCATAATCGTAATTTGTAGGTATTATAAAAGTACATAATCCATGTCTTGTCTGTGTTATATTTTTAAAAATTACTGCACACCTGTTATGTGACGAAACCCCCAATGCCTCTCAGAAAATCTGTCAAATTATAAAGTATCATAGATTTTGTAAATAGCCATACTCTCCTCGGAATAGTAACTAAATAAATCAACCAGTAAGTAGACGAGTACGTAAGTATTTGTTTTTGTAATAGACTATACTTGGTGGTAGACTAAGTTCTTTGAGGTTCAGGACTCAGTACGCTCCCAGGCCCCAATTCCTGGGGAGCTACCTCCCAGGAAAAAAAATATAGCTATCTTATTTCCTTAAAATATCACGTACAGAAAATAAACGACACTACGTGTTTGCGTTACAAATGTGAATGTTCGAATCAATATTTACTTGGAATAATTGAAATTTAACACAAATCCCATATTCTGAGTATGGCGACGGGTTTATGTGAGTCTTTGCTCATCCCATCGAGCATCCCCTAAACCAGCCCATGCGACCGGCTCACAAAGCTGCCTGAAATGGGGGAGCCCTACCCACTAAAACTCTGAAATCTGCCCTGCTTGCCAGCGGTGGCGGTGTGGGTTCCTTATTGGCAATCAACAACACTGATTATCCACCACCTAACCCATGGAGTCCTGGGACCTTACTCAACGACAGAAACCAAACATCACCGCTGAAGGTAGTTTTTTCATTGTGAACTTCTCTCGTCTCCGTAACTGCTGAGGATCATGACTCATAAGTTGTCATACCAAAAAACTGCAAATGCCAATAACAGATGGAAATCTGTATCTCTCTGGTGCTTACAAGCATCTCCATCGGTCGATCGGCAATTATGACACGGCACATATATTCATCCCATCATTATCTTAGAGTGGATATCCTAAAAAACTGCTTGGCTTGAAATTCACTACTTACTTATACTTTAACATATTGTCAATCACATTTCCGTACTATATGAATAAGTTACAGGTGGCTAGTGACAGAGAAGGGTGTTCCTTCCCGTAAGACCGGAAGTGACGCAACGCCCATGGCGGTTGCACATGATCCGGTTGACATTGGCATAATGTCGCGAGGCCGTCCGCTGTCACAGACCTCATCTAGGCTCACGAGGAAGGAGAGTGTTGCGTTATAGAACACTTTTAGGTTATTAGAGCTATGTGAGTAGGCATTATATATATGATTTTATGGTAATTAATTTCTAATCAAATAGTTACAGTCGAAGCTACGACGACATTGGAGACATTTACCCTATATAATTAATGACACATTTGAACTGTATATGTAATATCACTCTTATTTCAGACAAGATAACTAGCGCTTAAATCCACATTACATATTATTATATTTTATAACTTTTTTCCTAATTATACTAAAAATAAGCTTCAATAATTCGATAGCGTCCGAAAAAGATTAAATTAAAAAGTGTCAATTTAGACACTTTTTTCGAATATATTTATCCGAGTCATCGGTACTATAAAAGAAAAATTAACAAGTCAATTTCGTCAATTCTGATTTTATTTCATAATTTTCTTCATTGCTTAATTTTATTTAATAATACAAACATTGTCGCATTGTATTTCATAAAGTCCTTATATTAACATCTCTCAGCAATTCATCGTTAGTATAAGCCATTCGTGATGTCCACCAAATTAATGTTACTGATTGCAAAGCTCACAAGAAATCAAAACGCTTGAGTTAAGCTTTCATAATCTTCTTCATTGGTTAATTAAATTATATAAATGTTGTCGCATTGTATTTTATAAAGTCTTTATATAAAACTTATTTATCGTTAACTGTAAGCCATTTGTGAAGTCCACCAAATTTATGTTACTGATTGCAAAGCTCACAATAAATCAAAAAGCTTGAGTTAGGCATTCATAATCTTCTTATTACATACATACAACATATTGTCGCATTGTATTATATAAAGCCCTTATATATAACACCAAATCATAGTTTAATGTAAGCTATTATTGATGTCCACCAAATAGGGAAAATGACGGGGTAAATAGAGTAAACGAAATTCTATTTAGTCCATCAGTTAAATTATTAAAAAAATAATGGTCACCTTTTTTTCCTTTTCGCAATTAACCAAAAAATTACAAAGATAAGTTCTTGGGATCTTACTTTATGTTTTGAATAAGTGAATAAAGAAAAATATGTGCCCAATACTTTTTGATAATCTACCTGATAGACAAAGAAAAAGAAATTGTCAATATCCATATTGATACTACCACAGAACACAGAAAGAGATTCGAAGGGCCTTGTGGGCGGGGCAGGCGCGCCACAGTTTTATGTGAGCAAATGCTCATAACTTGAGCGAAAATTTGGTTCTCAATGCGTCGTCGCTCTCGGGTGTGAGCACTGATTGGGTCGATTGTTTGATGTTGCGTAGTTTGATTGGATATAATCTATTAGATGGAAGTGTAGTGGGAGCGACCCGGCGCCATCAGTTTCCATACAAACGGTCTATGAGCACCCTTCTAACCTCATTCTGTGTTCTGCGGATCCTACTGATTGCAAGCTCGCAAGAAATAAAAAAGTTTACGCCATTAATTAATAATAATGATACGTTCATTGGTTAGTAATTAGTTTCCAATATGTATCTGATGGCTGCACTTAGAGTGGCCGCAGCTACGGAAGTGACATGTCCGTCACAGAGGCCCCCTAGTAGTCGATGGTTTTTCTTCGCTAACTGCCAAGTCTTCGGCCTTTCATTATATTTAGTGAGACGTGTATCGAATTTTGATGGTACAGTCACTGCGAAGCATCCCTGGCCGGTTTGGAAGCGGAGGCTGTTTGTGATCCAATCCTCCCGGAGGAAATGTGAGTGGCCTTCCATCGCACACAAAGTGACTGTAAGTAATGATTATGTATTAGGTATAACAGAAAGTTGCAATCAAGAATTAACATTAATCTATATTTGACATTATTAATTTGACTTTTGAATTTTGTTAACCATCTATTTAATCTAGAATGACGTTTTATAAAATTAAGCTGACGCTTTTTTTAATTTCGCTGTTTTTTTATTTATTTGATGAAATTAAATTTATTATTGATATTGAAAACAATTTTTTGTCACAACGTAAATGAATATGTATTAGGTTAAATGATTTAGTGTAAAATATTTGTGCTATTTAGCTGGCTGAATGGCCCAAGTTCAAAATTGTAAGGTCCCCCAGTGTACCCTATTCAAAAGCAAAAAGGTAAATAAATTCTAATTCTAACAAGATTATGGTGGTGGCATATTTCTTTTAATTTTTTAAATCTTAACGTGTTCACGTATTTATTTAGGTTCTATTTGTATGTCACTCCCTGAATATTTCTTTTTGCTGAATTATCACCAATCAAATGCTCATTCGAATTCACCAATCTAAAATATTAAGATACAGTTAACATCAGCTTATGTGTATAAAATAGAATACTTTGATTACCCTAGATACCGTATTAACTGCACGGAAGGGGCACAAAAAATATCTACTACATATGGTAGATATGCGCGTCGCTACACACGCATACATTTGGCTGCTTTAGTAAAAAAATCTGACATTACAGTCTTACGTGCAACAGCACAGATTGCCCGAAATATGAGCCATTTTCTTTGCGTGATTTATTTGAATTGCTTGGCGTATAAGTATAAAGACAGAATACTTACTAAGCTCCAGAATCAAATCAATTATTTGATAGCCTTCTTTTGTGACGTACTCGATTTCATCGTAGGCTATGTTACAAAACTTTTCAGTCAACTTCCTGTCCTTCTCCATTGAGAAAATATAACAGCCTCGAGCAAATTGCGCGTTTAATAGCAACAACAATCTGAAATCAAAACAAGTTTTTAACCTATTGCAAAAGGAAAGAGATTCTCAATTTTTGAAGTGAAAACTTCTTTAGCGGCGTTGTACTTTTTTTTTGTATGGGTATAAAATGTTAAACTCGCGTCAGGTTAAACACGTGGGCTGATCACATTATGACACACAATAAAATTGGAAAGGTTGTTGACTTTCAATATATTGGACGAAACATAGATAGATTTTATTTTATCGTATTGTAATAATAAGTTTCTATCTAGGACGTCCACATGGCAGCTTTATTGCGAAGAAAATGCATTTTTTTTACAAAAGATGTCGCTAATCGCGCTTAAACGTGATTCATGTAAGTTGATTTTTCTGAGAGATAAACTTTTTTAATGTAATATAAATTGTCATGTTTGTGTACGATAGCGCAATAAATAAATATTGTATTCTACCACGTACATGATAGTACTTTTATACTGATAATTAAAGCAATTCGTGCAAAATTATTCCCTAACCATTCTAAAATAACAAAAATGCACAACGTTAATATTCAAGTTTTCACTTCTGCCGGCACTCCCGGAGTGCAACCCATCGTTATTTTATCAGGACGCTTAGCGTACAAGCACCATAGGTTACGCGCGTTCCTTTTTCTTGCGTACCAACAAGATCTGGAACGAACTTGTCTCAGCGGTTCTCCCTTTTAGCTATGATTTGGCGGTCTTCAAAAGGCGGGTAAACCTCTTCTTTCAGAACCGGCAAAACATGAGTGGTACCCTTGGTGCTGCAAGTGTCCATGGGCAGCAGTGACCACTTACCATCAGATGGACTGTCAGCTCATTTGCCTGCATAAACATAAAAAAAATGATTAGGTACCTACTTCATAAGCACAACTCCGAGACTTAAAGACTGTTATGTTAATTCTTTTTTTTAATAAATTTTCTTTCGAAATGGTCCCTTATAAAGTTAGTAAAGATCTGATGAATACTTCCGGAGATATAAACAAATAACTCCTCAATGACAAGCAGTGCATACATTGAGTTTGGATATTTTTATGAAATGTAAAAGAAATGATGACCAGCAGGTCATATTTTTATATCACCTTAACATACGCAACAAATTACCCTTATACAAAAACCATATATAAAGTTCTATAAAATAAAACACAATAGCTACAAAACATAGGCAATTTCATTAACATTTTAGCTCTAATGCAATTTTATATCATTTTCTTTAAAAAAAAGTTGCGAATACTATGTCGAATAACTAGTTCAAGGAAAATCAGTTCCTCAATTAATTAATTCGTTAAAAAAGCTTTTTTTAAACTGATAGACCTTTAACTGCATCTAACATTATTTGTAAGGAAATTAGTTATTTTTACCTGTGAGATAAGGCATACCCAAAATCAGTCCCGTTTTTAAGCATTCGATAACAAGGCTCTTCCAAATTGCACCTCGCTTGTAAGTCCATTTTATAATCAGGGTTTTCCGCCAACGACGCGAAGCACATGTCTACAATAAGACCAAAGTTCTGAAAGCTCAAGCAATCCATTTATTTATTTGTTTCTTAGGTTTTCACTCACATCATTCATTAAATAAAACTAATTTTACCGGGTTAATGCACGAAACTTTATTTATTTATTGACAATTTTTAAAAGGCTTTAAAATTAAAATTTAAAAGGCTGCGAAACGTTAATAAATAAATAAAGTTTCGTGTATTAACCCATTAAAACTAGTTTTATTCAATCCATTTATAATTTACTTAGATAAATCAATTTAATATAATATTACCCAATATTCATTATATTTTCGAGTTGACATGACATCTAATTGTTTTAATCATTGTGTTTTACCGAACGGACAAATGTATGTTCGCTCAGATCTGTTCTGAGCGCTAAGTGGAAACACAGCATAACAGGGAAAAATTAAAAGTAAATACTAATGTACCGACCGACCACTAATAAATTGCCACTGGAGGGCATACCTACTCTTAAAATCATGAATCGATGTATCGTGAACTGCGTTGTTTTGTCGAGTAGGAACTCTAAGGTATTAACAACTAAGTATGTAAGTTACTACTGAGTGCAATTTCGTGCTGCGGTTTTCACCAACAGTTACATAATGAATATTTTCGCAGAAGGTTTAATAAATGTATAATACATTCTTCTATTGACCACACCGAAGTGCTGCAAAAGGACGACTTTTGACTCTATAATGTACAAAAAGTTAACACGTCAGTTTATTTTTAGGCGCCCGACGTAAAAAAAAAGAAGAAAGTTCTCAAGTCGACTGTTTTTAACAAAATTAAAATAAATCAAATAAAATTTACCCAAGACCGTATATAGAGAGAAAGCTAGAAGTAGCAGCCTACCAGCGCATAAAGGAACCGGTCCGCGCAGGTAACGAACGTCGCCGGCGCTTATCGGCATTGGTTTATAGAGACCGCCGCGCTGGTTACCTGCGCGGCCCGCCCATAAGCGCTGTTAGGCTGCCAGCTTTCATTCTGTATACGGCCGAAGTTACACAAAATGTTTGTCTTACCAGACAGTCCCGGCGTAGGTACCCACTTTTCAACATGTTTTAAATCCTCTATGTATTCGTATATCGATGCGTATCTTTCACGAATTTGCTTGCCATGAAATTGTTCCGATCTCCCTCTAAGCGTTATTGAATGATGATCATACTGGCGAACTCGACTGATCCATTTAGTTTCGTTTATGAATAATGATGTTACTAAATAAGATGAAAAGAAACATTTACATAATTTTAGATTCAACAACACATAGGTATTCATTGCCTTCAAAATAAGTGACCTGAGTCAAGAATTTTCTTTCGTCTCTATATGCGGTAAAAAGTCGATAATCTACCGATCACGGAACCTTACAGTATTTTTTTATTTCAAACATATATATATTATTATACTATACCTAAGTATATTCAAGAATAATTTAATCAGAATACATACTCATTTTGTTTGACCTTTCGCCAGGATTTTGATTTTTGTTGACCATATTAGTGAAGAATTCGATTAAACCGTCATTTTTATCAAGTATTTTTTTTAATAAATTGTGTATTTTTTTCGGCAAGGCCTTATATTTCTTCATAACTACGAATTTCAGGTTTACTGAAAAAGATAATAACTTATGATTTTAGCTATTGAAAAAAAAAATCTAGTTTACAATATTTTAACCTTTCTTTTCATTGAATTTTACCATTTGTTAAAAACACTCCGAATTCTAAATTCAAGTCTAAATCGTACTTATTTCGTGAACAAAAGTCTGTAACTTTCTGGAGCGAGTCCACATACTTAAACAATACACTTTTTCGCGGCAATGTTGCCTTCGTCGAGAAGTTTAAAACAATACCCTGAACATGGGTGCCAAATGGGTTCCTGTTCGTCAAGCTCACTACTAACACACCTAGCGTCAATATCACTAGAAGAGACCGATACATAATGATTGAAAAAGGTCAAATCATTTCCCGACTGAAGCTTCAGCTTTTAAACTCGGCCGGGGACTGCCGCACTCCTGAACATTACTACTGTTTTTATATCCAGGGCTTAGGGTGAACATTGCTCATTTAAATGGAAGTCAATTTATCAAAGCTTCGCCTGATCTATTTCAAGCGCACAGATTTGAGAATTGACTTAATGCTTAGAGAAAACTCACTCTAATAGAATCTGGTGAAAAAATATAGGCACTTATTGCTTTGAGTAAGCATGAAATCTATCGATATTGAATTACACGCTTCCTAGTCTTTTCTATTAATGTAAGATGGATCTTGCAGTAGTGTGACCAATTCACATTAGTTTTATTGATAGATTTGGTCTTACTCATTTCTATTGTAAGAAAATATTACTATAAATTACAGACGGGACTGGACTGAATGAAATAACAGGTATTTCGCGATGCTAAGGGATCTTTTCGCAAATGACACTATGTCAGTCTGATTTCAGAATCAGAGCTCTAATCCGATCCAAATGCAACGAGGCGTGAGACAGGGAGATGTTACATCTCCGAAACTGTTTTCTGCTGCGTTGGAGGATATTTTCTTCTTCGATTGGAAAGGCCGTGGCATCAACATCAATGGCGATAGGTGTGTTAACACCTTCGCTTTGCCGGTGATGTAATGGCTGAGACCTTGGAAGATCTGAACACAATGATTGAGGATCTCAGCAGTCCCAAAGAGTGGGTCTAAAAATGAACATGGACAAGACGTCTAATGTCGATCTTACTACTCCAGTTAAAATGGGAATACTCCACTCGAAGTTGTCAACCATGACGTGTACCTGGGACAGACAGTCTAGTTAGGTAAGTACAACTTTGGGAAAGAGGTTTCTCATCGTATTCATCTCGGATTGGCATCGTTCGGGAAGTTACCTAAAATCTCTGCGTCCAAACTACCTGTGTCTGATGTGTGAGTGATGATTTACGGAAGCGAAACGTGGTCGCTTACTATGGGTCTCATATGAAGGCTCAAAGTCGCACAGAGAACAATGGAGAGAGCGTTGCTTGGTATCTATCTCCCTGCGTGATAGAATCAGAAATGAGGAAATGCGCACGAGAACTAAAGTAACCGACATCGCTCGAAGGATTTCTCAGCTGAAGTGGCAGTGGGTGGAACACATAGCGAGGAGAACATATGGCCGTTGGGGTGGAAAGGTTGGCGAACACGAACCGGACGAAGCTCGATGGGAAGACTTCCCACCAGGTAGATCGATGATCTGGTGAACATCGCGAGAAGCCGATGGCTGCGCGTGGCTCAAGACCGATCGATGTGGAGATCCTTGGGGAGGCTTATGCTCACCAGTGGGCGTCATACGGTTGAAATGATGATGATGATGAATATTTTCTTAAAAAACAGTTAAATAATTATTAATAATAATTTAGCCAGTTAAATGCTTAAAAATAATATAATAATCATTTTCATTATGTCTGTTTTTATGCTAGAAAAATTAAAATTTAAGAGAGATAGGGCGTAACGGATTTCCCGCTCAAATTGGAGCGCTCGTCTGCGGAAGTAACCTCCACTTACATAAGACAACAGTAAAATAGCACTACCTTTTGGTGGTGTTGTGTTTCTGCCGGTGAGTAAGGGCCCAGGGCTCCTAGGGGTAGGGGATTAGGGTCAAGGTAGACCAGGGCGCGAGTGATATTTTAGCAGCAGCTTTTAACATAAAAACTGGACAAATGCAAGCCGGAATCGCCCACCGAGGGTTCCGTACACATTTATAGGTACGCAACATGAACGACCGAATCTATTTTTACATAAATTTAGAAGTGCATTTTTTCACAGCTTCAATGGATCGTAAAATTGTATTGTGATGTATTTATATATTGTAATGTAAGTAATAGTAAAAATTGTATAAAGTTTAAATTTCATGCGTTCCCGAGATAAAGGATCTTGACAAACAGACAGATAAACAGCCGTACCTTTTTTTTGGTTAACTTAGAAGTTTTTTTTTTCACGGGTCCTACCTGAGTATATCGTTTATATCGTTTACACTCCAACTCTACACCTTGACGCGTTCCCGTGATAAAGGATTTTGACAGGCAGACGTATTGACGGACGGACGGACTTAAAGTTATCTTATAAAGGTTTCATGTTTTCCTTTTTAGCCACGGAACCCTTATAAATGGTCGATAGTGTAGGTAATCATCATGGTGATTACCCAGTCAGTCGAGTGCGGCAGAAAAATGTGCCGCAATTCAGCCACCTTCACTTTGGCAGCCTGAACCCCTAACCCAACACTCATAGCCTCTGACATGAATCGGAAGCTACTATTCATGCACTCTAATAGAAAGTGCACTCCGAATCCTGGAGGAGTTCTAGATAAAGTTTTGGTCACCCATCGAATTGGAACGCGCTAACAAGTTTGCCCACAAGCTCCTCTCAGATTTATCATCCATACATATTTATCGAAGGGATTCAAGTTATTTTCCTTTCACCAAAACTGAATGATCATTTTCAAACAACAGAACAGGTCTATTTCGAAGGTAGTCCACTGGTTCAATGTTAATAATTTGATGCTAAATGAAGGGAAAACTAAGTGTTTGAAATTTGTATTAACTAATGTGAAACAGGTAAAAACTAATGTAAATATAAAGGATCGACATATGAGCTCTGTAGATACCACAGTGTTCTTAGGAATCACACTAGATTCTAAGCTGCAGTGGGGCCCACATATTGATGGATTGTCAATTTTAGAGACTTAGTTCTGCAGCATATGCTGTAATGAAAATACGGCAGTTAACGGATATAGAAACTGCCAGATTAGTCTACTTTAGTTATTTTCATAGTGTAATGTCTTACGGTATTTTACTGTGGGGAAATGCCGCCGACATTCAAACTATATTTGTGCTGCAGAAGAGGGCTATTCGATCAATTTATAATCTTAAAGTTAAGGATTCATTAAGAGATAAGTTTAAAGAAATAGGTATATTGACAGTTGCATCACAATACATATATGACAACTTAGTATTTGTAAAAAAAAATATTAATTTGTTTACTAAAAATAGTGAAATACATACATATAATACTAGAAATAAAAATAACTTAACTTTACCTGCTACTAGGCTCCACAAAATCAATAATTCGTTTAGAGGTCTTAGTGTTCGCTTTTACAATAAAGTTCCAAGCAATATTCAAGAGTTAAGCATGACTAAATTTAAATCGACCATTAAAAAATCACTAGTTAAGAAAGCATATTATAAAGTGTCTGATTATATTACAGACAAAAATGCTTGGGTATGAACTGTTCCAACCATTCCAACGGGTATTTCTATATGATTTAAATTATGAATTATGTGTTGACAATACTATAATTAAACTGAAAGCTGTATATAAAGTTGATAACTTAAGTAAGATTATCAGACTGTTTAAGAATATTTGATTGACAAAACGGCGTGGTCGTGATTTCTCCTTTGCTTTGTTTTGTAATTGTTTGTTGTGTCTTACAGGTAAATGACCTTAATTTAAGTAAATATATTGTAGTTAGTATGGGTAGTTATGGGTAGTCATGCTCTCATAATAGTCTCTTCGGCGGTGTCGTGTGAGGCGGGTCGTTACGTTCCCTAAAATATGGTTGACCGAAGCGATGGCTGGTTCATGCGTCATGCTCGTGAACGGGTGCTGCCAGCGGAGATGAGTCTGCCCTAACTTCCTTAATATTGAAGTTAATGTTTAGTCACACTGAATATAAATAACACTATTTGTATTTATACTGTATGACACAGCAATCAAAATGCAGGTAAACAATTAATGTATATTTAATAATTATGTAATGAAAAGTGACTTCATGAATCACCTCTGAAGTCATTTTTCAATTTGACGACTCTGTAAATAATAAAACAGGGAGAAAAAAACAGCCCTTGCTGAGTTTCTTGCCGGTTCTTCTCAGTACAAGGTCTCCCGCCGTAGATTTACGAACCGATGGCGTAGCTTCTAGACATTCATATGTGCTTGTAACAGCCTAAACTGAATAAATGATTTTGATTATGATTATGATTATGATAAACGATTTACTTAATGCTGCAAACTGCTAAATATAAAACAATGAATTGAAGTGAAGTGAAGAAGTGAAATTCGCTTTAATGAAAATAATAATTAAAAATATGTTATATCTGCTAAAAACTAAGCAAAGCATTTGTTTCTCAATCCTCGGTAAGTATTTCTACAGCTTCTTCTATAAGCTCTATTGAAAATGTTTATTAGAAAGGAATGACGTGATTTGTAAGGCTTTGCGTAAGTTATTGCCTCGCCATGGGCGGGCGGTGCGGTCAACGAAGATTGAATTTACTCGGAGGCGACATTAATAATAATTAGAATGGTGAATTTTATAAACAGATAAACATATTCATTTAACTCTAAAGATATTTTTAGGTGTGTTAACACCTTCGCTTTGCCGGTGATGTAATGGCTGAGACCTTGGAAGATCTGAACACAATGATTGAGGATCTCAGCAGTCCCAAAGAGTGGGTCTAAAAATGAACATGGACAAGACGTCTAATGTCGATCTTACTACTCCAGTTAAAATGGGAATACTCCACTCGAAGTTGTCAACCATGACGTGTACCTGGGACAGACAGTCTAGTTAGGTAAGTACAACTTTGGGAAAGAGGTTTCTCATCGTATTCATCTCGGATTGGCATCGTTCGGGAAGTTACCTAAAATCTCTGCGTCCAAACTACCTGTGTCTGATGTGTGAGTGATGATTTACGGAAGCGAAACGTGGTCGCTTACTATGGGTCTCATATGAAGGCTCAAAGTCGCACAGAGAACAATGGAGAGAGCGTTGCTTGGTATCTATCTCCCTGCGTGATAGAATCAGAAATGAGGAAATGCGCACGAGAACTAAAGTAACCGACATCGCTCGAAGGATTTCTCAGCTGAAGTGGCAGTGGGTGGAACACATAGCGAGGAGAACATATGGCCGTTGGGGTGGAAAGGTTGGCGAACACGAACCGGACGAAGCTCGATGGGAAGACTTCCCACCAGGTAGATCGATGATCTGGTGAACATCGCGAGAAGCCGATGGCTGCGCGTGGCTCAAGACCGATCGATGTGGAGATCCTTGGGGAGGCTTATGCTCACCAGTGGGCGTCATACGGTTGAAATGATGATGATGATGAATATTTTCT